AGAGAGGTTATGTAAAGGTGCAAATTTCCAATGATGAATGTCTTTATATTTTATACCTAAAATGTACCAATAAAATTAATTAAATAAAAAAGTAACATACAGACAAACAAGGGCAAGAGAGCCCAGAGGAAGCAGTAGACGAGGATATATATCTATATCTATATAGGTATCTAGATAGATACCTATCTATATAGATAGATATAGATATGGATATAGATATAGATATGGAGAGAGAACACATGTACATTACAGTATGTTAGGGCTGGAAATCTTTAGGAGACACTCAAAAGCAGAAAACAGCATGTACAAAGAAAGCATAAAGGACCTTGTAAAATATTAAAATAATACTAGTACTATTGGGTAATTGAATAGTTTGCTATAGTTTGACACAGCACCATGTATGGAATTGATAGATATAAGAAATGGACATTGGTAAGAAAGGAATAGAAAGGTGGGTAGAGGAATGTGACATAGACACTTGTGTCAGGATAATGAGTTTAAATTTTACCTGGAAAATAATGAAGGCAGCCTGAAGAATTTTATGCATGTGAGAAACAGAAAGGGATATGAATTCGAGAAAATATATCTGAAGGATGATTTGGAGATGGGTGCAGGCAAAACTCAAGGCAGGGAAAACAGAAGACTATTGCAATAGTCTCAGATAAAAATGCTGATCATCTGCACTGTGGTTTGTGAGGATAAAAGGAGAGGAGAAACTCAAGAGATTTGCGATCAAGTGGATAAAGTTTGGTATTTGAGTGGATGTGCAGGGTCAGTGAAATAGAGAAAAGTTTAGGCTTATGCCCAGATTTCTGGCATAAAAATCGAAATGGCTGCTGGTGGTGTTCATAGGGAGAAGAAAGATCAGAGGACTGGAACAGCAGGTTGAGGGATGGAGTGGGAAAAGAGAAAGAAAGCGCTACTATGTGAGAACACAGCTGGGACCATGCAGGAGAGGCAGCCAGCAGAATACCGCAGCTGTGGGTCCAGATGCCTTCTGAGGGTCAAGACAGAACTGAACCCATACAGAGCTGGTGGTCATCATCTAGAACACTCTTAAAATACATATATCTAGGCCCTTCTCTGGAAATTATAATTTACCAGGAATCATAAGAATCTGGGGTTTATACTGCCTCTTATACCTGGCCAGATATTTGCTGGCATACGTACCTGAGATCCTCTCCAGTGGAATGGCACTTTGCAGATGCCTCTCGAGCCCCAGGCTTTGGCCCTACCTCTCCCTCCCCATCAGCACAACCATTTACTTTTCCATTTTATTACATGTCTCATTCATACATCTGAAACATCAACTGTTCTGACAATGATAGAAATAAGCATCAATTCTTTAATTTTTAAAAACAATAATTAATGCCATAATAGCATTAGAAATCAAGAAAGCTTTTATCTTATATTCAGTTCAGAGGATTTTATATATTATCACATTCCTAGATATTGCTATTTTCAATTAAAGAATGACAGAAAATCTAAGAAATTTTATTTCTGAGACCTGAAAATGATAAAGCAGCTATTTGTCTGTATTTAAAGTGCTTATTTATTGACATGGAGTTTTCTTCTTGATCGATCATTCTCTAGAAAGTTTACGGGGCCATTGAAAGTTAGATCCCCTTACCACCAATGTTCTGCATCGTAATGGAAATAAAAGCTCCAAGTTTTCCAGGCCATCCAAATGCCTTCTCCCCTAATTTTTCATAAATTAATGACCCTACAATGAAAGATAAAATAATTTTGTTAGAGAATTGTTTAATGACTAAAATATTTCTATAATATAACCCTACACTCAAGTTTCAAACATGTAAGTAATGTTATAGAGAAATTATAAACCCAAAAGACACAACCTCAAAACCAATAAACAATGAATTAATATGTTCTCCAAACAAGAAGCAATTGGTTTATTCATTTTAACTACATGTAGTAAGTTAAAACAGTTACTTCCATCATCTACATCTCTTTTTCTATTTGGTTTGAACTGGAGCGAGTCGACTTTCACTCCTGCCTCTCACTCACCCAAATAACTAAAAACCCTGTGAGGCAGACCATGTTGCTGTGGTTAGAAGAAGAGGAAATATGAAACTGACTAAAATCATCCTCAGGTTATGAAGCGACAGACTGAAATACTCTTGTAAGAGAATCAAAGTAGAATGTCTTGGATTTAAGGCATAGCATACCTCCTTCCTTGGCTGTCTTTAGTAAAAGGTGAACTGAATAGAGTGATAATGTTGCCACAGCAAGCAGCATAATTCTGTAAAGGGAGTAGAGAGTAGAAAATAAAATGTCTATAAGAAATAAGACATCGTAGTATTAGATGTTGCAATAAAGGATCATATTGGTCTCTTCAATCATTAACTTTTTAAAAAAGAAAAGGAATCCTTTTCAGAATGCCAAACATTCCCTCTGATTCTATATTTCACATGTTTAACCTACTACTTGAAGTTCCTAACTTTTTTAGGGTTACACAGTTACAGAATCTGTTTTATAACTTAGATTTTAAGTATAAGGCAAGATTATCAAATACTACAGCTACTTTACTCAGCATTTGGGTATGGTATGTGTACAACACATGTGCATCCATATCTGGAATTGAAGGACTAATCCAAGAATTAATCTGGAGTCTAAGAATTCAAAAACCAAAGCATGTAGGGTCAGCTCCGTTATTACTAACCCTAGAAGAGGAGGTTACTCTGTCCTCCAGAGAATCAGGCAACTGCAGTGTAATAGTGAAAGCAGAAAAAGGGGTCAGGGAAATCCCTTTTTTTATATTCAGAAAGAATAATTTCTAATGTCAGGACTCTTGACATGTCCACATGTATGTATGGTTTATGTTTATACTAACCAGAATTTCTCCACAAACCAAGGGTTAGAGCACAAAACCAACAAGTAGAGAGCGACACCAAGAATTAGAGCACAATTAGATTTCAAAACCAGGAATTAGAGTGCAAAGCAAGATACAACCATCTACATAACAAATGGAAGGAAGCACTAAAGTTGACTTGAAATTTAAAAACATATATATATATGTAAAGAGAACACACTGAACAGCTTCCCCACAACTGATCAACTGATCTAATCCTTTGGTAATTCCCAATGCAATCAAAGCTATGGATGCAGATTTAGACTACAAATTATACGTTATATAACTACTGTAGCTATATTGTGCTCTTATTTTCCAGAAAATGTCCTCCAGAACTCTCCAATCAATTATTTATTCATGTCTTTTTCTATATGCCTTATAAAATGTAATTTTTTTAGAGAACATGTAATTTACATAATTTTGTTCCTTGGAAAAATAGTAACTATTCCCTGTATTTTAAACATGGACTTGCTTTGGCAGAAAACACTAAAAGAGAAATCAATCAACTACTGTTTCTTACTGTGAATTAAGGGAGATAGCTGAATCAGTTCTGTCCTATTTGAACATGAAAAATATACTCTGTTGTGTTTAGTGATTTAATCGCTTTGACCAAAATAATCTGCTAAATGTTCATAGGCCTGAAATGAAGCCTGTGCTTGAAAAGTGGAATATTCTCCTCCCATGATAATGATCTATGGCTCTAGAATTGGGGGAAGTGCTTCCCATTTCTATTCATCAGTGACCTATGAAAACTTCATGATTAATTCTAATGTTATGTATAATTAATAAGGAGAAGGCAGTGTTTTGTTTTAGAGGCAGTAAACATTGCAGAAGCATACAAATATATGAACACATTTCTAACTATTAAGATTCATATAATCAAAAACTAGTTTATTTCAAACATGCCTTATAAAAATAAAGTTGATATAAAATCCATTCTATTAAATAATATTATACATAAAAGAGTTCAATCAAAGCACTAATACAAGATAAATACTTATAGTCTGGATCCTCAACTCTCAAATAGTTATGTGATTATCTAACTATATATGATGTTCACAACATAAATAGCATACATTTATCATATAAATACTACATTAGTAAACATTTATTTAACTGTCTAGTATTGCATTTGGAACGAGGATCTATGTTCATGTTAATGCCTAACATTAGACTTTATTCTTGTGAGCAATTCCACTGCTGCCAACTATGTCTCAGAAGATAGCAGGCTGTGCATGATGTACACACATCTGGTTGTCTGTCATGGCTGATGTGCTACCCATCCTATGGGTCAGCTACATGAGGCTTCCACCTTAGGCAGCATTTGACCAAATTTGGTGAAAACACGTAAGTTTAGAATTAAGCGTCAGTCACTCAGCAAATATTTCCTGTGACAAACACAGTGCAAGGTGTTAGGGTTAGAGTCATACGGCAAAACATGGACAAAATTCTCTGGAGCTTATACTCTAGCAAGGGAGATAACCAAAGCCTCAGAAAAATACCCTAGAGTATCAAAACTGTGGTGAGTGCATCATAGATTTGCCCCAGTTATAGACGTCAGAGCAGGTGGCCCTAAGGAGAGGTTGAGCTGTGTTGTGAAGAGTTAACTAGATAAAGAAGAAAGGACAGATGGTTCCAAGACCATGTGCAAAGCCCAGCAGTGAGGGAATTTGGCTCCTTGTTGGGATGGAGCTAAGACCAGTGTGCTCATTGCATCTGGTCCCGGGGCAAGGGGAATGGGCCCTGGGCAGGCAGGACATTCAGGTCTGGTTTGAGATGGGGTATTTTCCCCAAGAGTATTTTAAAATCAGACTTGCCTGTAGGAAAGTTCTTTCTGACTACTACACTCTAAGTTATTTTAAGAATCTGTTAAACAATGAAGTACTTTGTAGGATAGTTTCTGTGGACAGGCAGGGCTGCTCCAGCACTCTGGGTATTGAGGACATAAAGTTTCTGCCATTTGTTTAGAGATGGTTGGGTGAAGAAGTATTGTTATGAGATGGCTATGGCTATTCTTCAGCTTGCTGTTTTACCTAAAAGGAAGAAGATTGGCTAGTACATTCTCGAATTCATCCTGGTCACAGAGTCACACTTCAGACTATTAATTGAAAGAGCATCAGGTTATATATACATGCACTTCATCTCCAAATGTAGATATGTGTGTTCACTTACATAAACAATATGATTCCAGTGTTGGCCATGGCATAGGATAAGCCTAAGATCCCACTGCCCATGATGGCATTGCTCAGGTTAAATGAAGACATTCCAAAGGAAGTGGTTCCAGGATGCTTGAAGAACAGGGAAACATTATAAGCAAAAACTTGCCAAAAGACCAATCTTCTCTTGGGTTATTCTTATGCTCATATTATCTCTCCTGAATGAGATTACAGTCCAAAAATTGAAGGCTAAGATAAAATCATAGCAAGTAAAAGTCATTACTCACCTTCAATAAAAGCATGTAATTTTTCAATGGAATGTAGCGCTTAGTTTCATAGATCTCCATAAAAACAAACAAACAAAAAACATATGGGTGGGGCAATATCAAGAAGGTCAAACACGTATGGCTGCAGACTGCATTTGGATTAGAATGATTTCTCAAAAAAAAAATAAATTTCATAAATGATTTATGCAGCCATATGGCGAACAGGAAAAACAAGCCCTTATTCCAGTAAGGGCCTGAATAAACAGAGAATATGCTGATCAAGGCTTGGAAAATTTCAGTCACACTGTTTTCCCACAGAGACCTACATAGATCAGACACCTTCAGTCTTATCCACTGCCTGACAACAGAGATTCACTTACATGCTCATCTTCGTAATCTGCCAGCTTCTTTTTCCCCAAAAATCCATTTGTCAGGAACTTCTGGCTTTCAGCATCTTCATTAACAAATTGACTAAACACACACATAAAAGGAAATTAGAGAGTGAAAGCATCTAAATAAATGCCCTAAATTATATTTATGTTTCAGGTGACCTAAGTAGCTCAATCAGGGGAGCAAAAACCAAGTTAAGGGAGAAAACACCTAAAACATTTTTTCTCCTCCTTCTGCACACTAGTGTTCCTTTCAAACAAAAAACAGCTCTATTTATAAATAACCTTTGGGGAGGATGTTATAAAAGAAGGAAATAGTATTTTCAGTTGAAAAATTGTTTATGACACATTTTTTCTTCTCTAAAGAAACAATACAGGGAAGAGATTAATTGGAACTAATTTTGTTCCCACTTAGAGCCCTTCCTAAGAAAGGGTACAGGGGGCTGGGGATTTAGCTCAGTGGTTATGCTGCCCACCTCGTGAGCACAAGGATCTGAGTTCGATCCCCGGTACAAAAAAAAAAAAAAAGAAAGGGTACAGGCTCATAATTCTGAGTTTTTTATTCTACTGGCATGCCATCATCAATTTTTATTAATTTAACAAATATTTGTTTAATGCCTATGTAATTCTTAACTCATTTCATGCCCAAAATACCCTTGTAAGGGGAACATTCACATTGTTTCTCTAAAGATAAAGCAACTATGGCTGCCAGGCTCCAAGTCCGTGGTCTTCCATGCATGAGACAGTCCCAGGCAGGGCCCTGTACTGGTATTTTCTCTTTTCTGGCTCTGTCTACATATATAGATATTCCTTAGAGGAAAACAGTTAACTGGTAGCTTTGTGTTGTGTTTGATTGTGTGTGTGTGTGTGTGTTAATTATCTTCAACATATACATGGGTTATTAGATAGTGGATTAAACTAAGAAAATTATTAAAGAAACCCAATGAGTTGGTAAAAGAGTTGGTAAAAAGAGTTTAAAATGTCACTATCCACAACACACTGTAATCATTGTCTCCTTTGGCACAGGCTGGAAGATGCCCAAATCAGTCCTAATGCTGCCCCTTTATCATACCAGTCACCTCCTGCAGTTACATGCTGGGGGCATGGAGGCTGTGGACTGAAGGACAGTCACATTCCCAAAAGGCTTGATAGGCGAGGCCAGTGAACAATGTACTTTCATTCACCAAAATACCACACAGGCTTTTTGCTGCTGTTACAGAAAATGCTCAACTATGCACGTTTCTTTAAAGTACTTTGTAATGAGATGGATTGCAATTTTTAGGGTACTTCTTGCATTGAAGAGTAAGATAAAATAAAGGAGTTTTTTGAAATAAATCCTTAGAAATAAAGCAGAAAAGAACTATTATAGAAAATCTGCATAAGTTATCTTTCATAGCAGGAGCTTATGCTGAAAATAAACTGGTGAGGAAGAGGGATGGTAGGATTAATCTTGGAGATTAGGTAGCAATACCAGGTGTAGATAGAATGAGCAGACAGAATCACAAAGTTTGATGTGGTTTTCTAGAACTCAAGGAGTAGACAGCTCTGCATATACAAGATTTCCTAGCATTCTCCCTGTTTCTCAGAGGAAACTTTAGTGTCCTCACTTACTGACTTCTTCCATTTCCACACACACACTTTTTGTGATTTACTTTAATTGTCTATTGTTAATATACTTGCTATGTTGAGGGCTGGTACGTAATGTTCAAAGTTGGAAACTGTTGGATAAAATGGGACTAAGGACTATAAAAACAGAAGTGTCACTTAGAAGAGGAATTTAAATTCAGGGATAGCCAACACTCTACTTTTCATTGCAATCAATAAACTGGAATTTTTACTCCTTGAGTGGTTTTTAAAAGTTTGAATTTGAAAGTAAACAGATTATCTTTTTTTGTGGGGCATCTGCATGCTCTTATTTTGGCATAAGAGAGTTATAGCCCTAAAACATGCCAAGATTGTATAAAATACATAAGAAACATCCTCAGTGTGTTCAATGTTTTGATACCAAACCCATAATGTATTGAAAGCATAAGTAAAATGATCCCAAATAAATACAGTATGTTGAATTTCTCAAAAAATTTAAATTTGAGGTTCATTCCGAACCAAACATAAATGAAAACCATCTTTTAAAAGTGATTATAAAATTCCAAAATGATGAACTGTGTTTGAGCCAGCAGTTTAAAGGCAAGTGATTCTGAGTGGTCCAGAAGACATTGTACAAAGCTTAACAAAAGAATTATTGCTCTTCCAATATGGCTTTGGTAGGGCCAAATGCAATTCCTCAAGAACTGTTCGTGTGGCAGTGCCTTCATCAGTTCAGCCAACCCCTGGAGCATTCATATTTGTGTGCATTTCTTTCAGAATCAAAAGATTCCTTAGATTTAGATCAGTTTATTAAAGGTGATGACACAGGGGAGAAAGAACAAGAATTTATTGAATATCTTCTGTGTTTCATGTGCTCATTTAATCCATAGAAAAGTAGATGTTGGTTTGCCACTTTACATTTTGCACCGAAGCTTGAAGAAGATAAACATTTTCCAAAGTCAAGGAGCTACTCTGCAGACTTCAGTGCCCTATATTCTATACATTGCTTCCTTAAAAGTCACCCAGTATGGAAATTGCCATGAGTTACATTTCAACGTCTTCAGCAACCTTTAAGCTCATTGCACAAAACTACTTGGAGGAAAAAGGGCCCTGATGGCCCTTTCTGGATTATGTGAATTAAATGAAAAGTCCTTTTTTGAGGATAATATTCTGTACTTTGGGCCTAGTTTTGTTCAAAAGTTCCTTTCTGAGCATTTTTAATTGTGCATAATTTGTGCTTATAAGGTTGTGTGGGAAATTAACTTACTTATCAAATAACTATGATGCGTCTGCTATTTGCAATATGATATGTGATATGTGGTGGCAGGCAGAGGCCATCAATCTATGGCACTGGTATGATTAACACCTGGATAGGGAGAAGGAGCACAAAGGAGTGGTGGTCACTTCCACTTGGGGAAGTAGAGGCATTCAGAGAAGCCTTGCTAGGATACTTGACATGGAGCTGATTCTTAAAAGATGAGAGGTATCAATAGAGACAAAGGGGGAAACAATGGGTGATTCCAGAGAGATGGAGTAGAATGAGTGAAGGCAGGAGGGTATAAAAAGGAGCAGGATAAGAAACAGGACAAGAAGAGTCTTATATGACAAGCAATGTATAGTGTAATCTGTATGTAACAGCTAATGTGGAGTCAAAGAAAGATTTTGCTCAAGGATGGAACGTGATTTAATTTGCTACTGTAAAAGATTGGTCTTATAAAAGTGCAAGATTAGACAAAGGAAAGCAAAATGTAAAAGAGAAAGACAAATCGGGGTTGTTCTCATAGACGTGTGAGAAAGGTTGGAGATCTAATAAAAGATGGCAATAGAATGGATAATGACAAGAGGTGGATTTGAAATATTAATAAGCTAGAGCCAACTGGATACAGGCAACCATTGACTCTGTGGGTTGCAGGAAAGGATGGGTTGTTTTAATTGCACTGCTGAATGAGATTGATACTTTCACAAGGATGGAGATACTAGAGGAGGAGCAAGTTTTGAAAAGAATGATAGGAACTCAATAGCAGACATTGCAAGTTTTACTTTAGAAATGAGGCAATTCAGACACACTAGTGGCCTGTGGAGATGTGTACTAGAAAGTTGGATGTAATGATCTGAAACTCAGTAGGGAAGTTTTACAGGCAGAGGACATGGCATATCAATGGTGACCCCATGATAGTTATGAATGAACTTCCTCAGAGAACACTTTTACAGTGAAAAGAATCACTATAGATCCCTGGAGATTTGGCAACATTGAAAGAGCAGTCAAAGGAAGAGGAATCTAAGAAAGAATAAACCAAAAGGCAAGAGGAGTGATAAGCTAATATGATTGAAGTTATGCTACACTGTAATGCCACAATGGCACTGTAATCTCAATTCTAGATTAGTCACACAAAAGTCTGACATTATGACTGTATTTCAAGATCAGGGAATTGATGTGTTAACATCAATGTCACTGTTATCTCAAATTTATCTGTAAAAAACCAACAAGATCCTTGTTTTCCATGTCCATAAGACTGTCTCATCTTTCTACGGAAGCTGGTAATTTTTAACCCCATACCTGCTCATGGCTGCCTTTTCTGAATTTCTCATCCCCGTGTAGCTATCTTGAATACTTTCTCCACTGATGCTCTCATCATCAGGTTCAATGTTGACATTTCTCAGTTCCATGGGGTCCATTTGACCTGTCAGCGCTTTCTTGTCCACACACGCGGTCCTTCAGTGTAAATAATATACTGCACCTTTGGCTTAAGGCTCTTCTACTTGTGTTGATGTTCAGAACACTCTGTTCTGCAAACAGAACACAAATAAATCATTATAATTTTCTTTAAATTAGACAAATGAATATGAATCATCTACTTTGTGTATGCTTTCTGTAAATCATAGAAAGGAAGTAAACTTCTGAAAATTTCACATAAATATATCATGAATGTTTCCTTTACCCAATACAAAAAATGAAATATGGAAGAGAAGATGAAAAATTACTAATCATTGCTAATCCAGTAAGTATTTCATAAAGTGCTACACATAATGAACACAGCAGGTGCTTTACTAGTTACTATAAAAGGAAAAAAATCTTAATATTTGGCAGCAGTCATTATGAAGATTTAGGTGTTTGTAAGCAGACTGCATGGTTTAAAAGAAAGGGAAAGAAATATAAACTGTTTACAAAAGAAGATCTGCTAAGCATCTCTCCTAGCAATAACTAGAAAGAAAATTACTGTCTTAATGTAATTGTGTGTGAAAGAATTAAAATCAGCAAAATGTTTGATAATATGCAACCCAGGGTAGAATCAAGATTAGGAAGCCACTTTCTAGGTACTGAGATCCTGAAGTGAAAGTTAAGAATAGTAACAAAAGGAAGCACAGGTCTACCTTTGATTCTGAGCCAGTCACTATTCATATCAAATTAAAATGTATTTTAACTACAAAGAGACCCAGTTTTTCAGCTCTGCTTCAATGTGTTGGATCTCAGCACAAGTCATTTTACTTTGTTGGACTTCACTTACCTCAGCTGTAGAATGAAAAGAAGTGGACTGGCTTTGTGTTTTTTAAAAAAATACCATGAATCTATTATATGTTGTTGACCTACTTTCTTTTGAAATTTTTCGCTTTATAATCATTCAGTTATTGTTGAGCAATAATATTGGGAGAAACATGAACACTTAAAAGGAGTGGTTCTGAAACATGCACTACCCATTTGATAAGAAAATTTTAAGCAGAGAAACTATCATAAAAATTACTTCAGAACTCATAAAATCCATAAATCCATGACAAACATAAAACTACCTCATGGAAATGTCTCTACAACACAATGCTATGGCAACAAGCCTGTGGAGTCCAGTTCACTCTTGGGATGGGTTCACAACCCCAGATTACAAAACACACATGGAAATTCACTAGTATGAATGTTAGTAGGAAAATAAAATGACAGAGTCACAAATAATGAAGCAATTCAAAAGAGACTTTTAAATTAATGTAACAAAAAGTCATAAAATAGATCCCTAGAATAACTACATTGTAAAAGAAGAAAAGTTTATTTTTTAAAGGACAAAAAGAGGAATACTTAAAAAATACTTATTGAAACAGAAAACTCAGCTAACAGAAAAGTTATGAAACTAAAATACCAATAGAAATCAGTCAACTTATAGCACAGAGATAAAAAAGAAATGTAAAGCCATAAACAGATATGGGGGAAAGAATAAGAAGTAAAAACACAGTCTAATGGTCATTTTAATATGACAGGATTACGAGGGTAGAGAGAGACAAATAGGAAATGATAATGGTAAAGAATTTCCCAAAATTGAAAAACTACAGTTCCCAGAATTGAAAAACAAGTATGTATTTCAAACAGAGGAATAAAGTGAATCTATTCATTAATACTGTACTATGTAGTCAAGGTATATTCAATGTAATGTAAAAGTCAAGAGAAGCTTAAAAACTACCAGAAACTAGAAGACATCCATGTGAGTAACAGAAAAATATTGAATTCATGTTTACAAAGATTTTCCTCACCTATCACACAGTACCAGTCTGTTTTCAGTAGCAACTACTAATCACAGTTTCTGTTCTTAATTCTTCATTTAAAGTTAGCCATTCTCAATTTTAAAAATTCACTAAATCCTCTCTACCTGGTTTATCAATTCTAGGCTAGTAGCTATGAAAGAAAAGGGAATCATCATGTATCTTTCTATCCTATCTTCCCCACTCCTAATTTTTTTTTTTTGGTAGCAGGGATCGAACTCGGGACCTTGCGCTTGTGAGGCAGGCAGCAGAACCACTGAGCTAAATCCCTGACCCTCTCCTGATTATTTTAATGAAGTATGTTTGCAGGTTAAGAATCACAACATTTCATCTTGTTGTGTAAAACAATTAAATCGGCCATTTTTCTATTGATTGCTTCTAAACAACAGATACAAATGATCAATGTTTAGGATTGTGTAAACAGCATAGCCCCAAAGAACTAAGTGGTGTACTTAACTACATAATAAATGAAGTTGAATCCCAAATTACCAAAAATGTGAAAGCCAAGTTTGCATGCTCTTTTGCTTTCTGAATGGGTTTCTCCTCCAACCTCTGGACCTTGTTCAGCTGCCAGTGTTTCTTGAATGCTCCTCCGTCTTCCTTTTCCAATTCATTTTGCATTGTGCTGAAATACCACATGAAACTACTCTTACAATGTGTGACTAAGTTTATTAGCTGAATTTTCAAGTTGTTTTGTGTAGCAATGTCTCTATTCTGTCTTCAAACTTCATTGACATTTGAATTCTAGATTCAGAATCATTTTCCCTTAGAATGTTAAGAAGATATTTCTTCCTAAACTCCTAGCTTGTTCTGATGAGTATGGTTCTCATTTCTTTGTAGATGACATATTATTTTCTGAAGGATTTTATTTCCTATCTGAAAATTGGTCATGATTCAACTAGATGTAAGTAGCTTTTAAAATTCATCTTACTCAGGGCCGGGGATTTAGCTCAGTGGTTTTGTCGCCTGCTGCACAAGTGCAAGGACCCAAGTTCAATCCCTGGTACCAAAAAAACAAAAACCAAAAAACAAACCAAAAAAAATTCATCTTACTCAGCATATGGAGGGCTTATGTAATCAGAAGGCTTCTGGTTTTCTTTGGACCAGAAAAATGTTTATTGTTTTAAAAAATTATTTCTTCTCCTATAATTTATTTTTATAAAATATTTATTAGTTGGTATTTGACCTCTTGATCTATTTGTTAAACTTTTCTTTTTTACTTACGGTCCCTGACTTATGATGGTTAACTTATAATGTCTTTGACTTTATGATGATGCCAAATTGATATACATTTAGTAAAAAATGTGCTTTTATTTTAATCTTTTCCCAAACTAGTGATCTGTAAATACTCTCTTAAGACACTGGGCAGTGGTAGTGATGCATAGCTCACAATTAGTCACACAATCATGAGGGTAAACAGCACTACTCCCCAGGGTACAGTATTGATAAGTTATGATGTTTGGTGAGTGTTAAGGTTTGTATCTTGAATATCATCCAAAGGCCATTGGGTTGAACACTTGACCTTTTGTCCATGGTGCTGTTGAGAGGTGATGAACCTTTAGTTGATGAATCCTAGTGGAAGGAAGTTAGATCATTGGAGCACCGTGCACTTGAAAGGGACAATGGGACTCTACACTCCTGTCTTTCTTTTTGCTTCCTGGACAACGTGAGGTGAGAAGGTCTCTTCTGCCATGTGCTGTTGTACTATGCTACCAGAGGTCCAAAGGAGTCAGTTTCACTGTCTGAAACCTCTGAAACTGTGAGCCAAAATTAACCTTTTCTCTAAGTGGATTATCTCAGGTATTTTGTCACAGAAATGGAAAGCTGGATAGCACAGTAATTAAATCTTCAAATTAATGATATTTTCAAAAATGAGTCTAGTAGAGTATAATTCCATCATAAGTTTTTTTATCTCTATCTCATTGACCCACAATCAGGAGTAATTCCTCCCTGTTATATCCAAAATAACAAATTTATCTTCCATTTTACTTTTCATCCTCACTAACCAAGGAACTATTTTTCTCAATCAAGTTTTTAATTTCTACCAATTATTTGTTCTTATGGAGACACAGGTTAAGTGGCTCCCATGCTGTGCCACCTCTACATTAGTGGATAGCGAACAGAAACTCTGGCTTTGAGGAAAAACAGAATGAGGTATAAATCCTGGCCAAATTACCTAACTTTTGATTTTCCATCTGCTGCAAAATGAGAGTAAATATCATTTATCACAAAAGTAGTACTGTGTGGGTTCAAACAAAATTATGCATGCCAGTTTGGCCATCAGTAAATTTGTAGCCTTTTTTTGCTTCTCCAATAATTAGAATGGTATTGATGTCTTTATGTGCACACAAACATACTTAGTATTTCATATTCTTGGTTTACTTAGACACTTCTAAAAAAAAGGCTTTATAATTCTCAAAACTCTCACAAACATTGATTCCCTTTCACAAATACAGAAATAAAGACCTAGTTTTATGTTATTTTTACCTCATATAAAACATTCATGCCATTCTCTTTGGAAGGTGGTAATTCCTGGGAAATAGCAGTTTGACAGCCACTCTTCCTAATTTTGGCCCTGGCTAAGGAAGATCTCTGAAAAATTGAAATACATTTTCATAGTTCGTATCTTCAGCTGTGAATATTCTATTACTGATCTACTTTAAGGGAATAATAGCCAAAAATACAGTTTCAAAAGCACTAAAACCTAATGAGAAATGAAATAACCAGAATCAGTTGTCTGAAGCAGAAAGCACACACTTTGAACTATTTAAACTACATCAAAATTGCTAAAATGTAATCGCTGGTTATTTACATGAGTATGATCCACTATGGAAGTATTTTTCAGATCGTGTTTATTTATTCATTCAGTAAATATCGAGAATGAAACACGAGCCAAGAATTATGAAAGTCACAGAAAAAATGAGTAAGACAGAATCCTTGTACCGAACTCATCCTGGGAGAGCAGACAGGCTTCAAAACAAACTGTGACAGTTCAGTACATTAACATCTTTGCTTTTTTTCTCTGGTAAACACTTACTGAACGAATCAATGATTCACTGAATGAGTAGGACAGAAAAGAATGATGCTGGCAAACCTTGTGGTTGAAAATGCAGTTTTCACAGACATCAATTCTTCTGCACATCCCCATCTCATAC